TTCCATATTCTCTCAACAAATATTATTGAGAATATATTCTGTGCCAGTCTCTATGCTAGGATTTAGGTAAGACAGAGAAGTATAGGCCAGCTGGTGTAGCTCAGTGGTTGAATGTTGACTCCATGAATCAGGGGGTCATGGCTTGTTCCTGGTCAGGGCATATGCTGGGGTCGCGGGCTCGATTCCCAGTAGTGGGTGTGTGGGAGAAGACCAATGAATGATTCTCTTTCATTATTGATGTTTCTCTCTCTCTTTGAAATTAATACAAACATAAAAAATAAAAAAAGAGAAGTCTAAAAGGAGAATGGGAAATTGTCTGTGCCAAGTGCTTTTATAACTGCTGTGTCAGAAAATAAAGCAGGTGAAGTACTTAATCTGCTACAATACAGATGAACCTTGAAAATGTGATACAAGGAGCTAAGTGCAAGAAACCAGGCACAAAAGATCATTGCTGTATGATTCCAAGTGTTTACAATACCCAGAACATGCAGATCTAATGGTTGACAGACTCAAGAGAGAGGTTTTGGGAACAACATCTTCATGTGTACAATATCTCTTTGGGGTGATAGAAATGTTTTGGAACTAGGTAGAGGTGATGGTTACCCAATATTATGAATGTACTAAAACCCACTGATTTGTGCACTTTTAAATGGTAAATTTTGATATGGGAATTTGTCCTCAATAAAAAAGCAGGCATGCAGTGTGGGGGCTATCCTTTTATAATGAATGGTCAGCGTAGCGGCAACTTTAGGAGGTCAGCTTCAGCTTACTAGTATCCTGTATCTCCTGCATTTTACCCATTTGGTCTCTTTCCATTCTCTCAACAGTCCTTAGAAGTAGGTACTATTAGTATCCCTGTGTTGCACTTCAGGGACCTGCTTAGGGAGGATGAGGTGATGTGCTATAGGCGCATATCTACTACATTCAATGTTGATCGAGTGCAGGTTCAGTGCCAAGTCTCTCCTGGGCACATGACGTAGGCATCCTCACCCAGGCTTCCCAGTAATCCTGCAAAGTGAATAATGCCCCATTTTAAATGAGGACTTGACTCATTTAGGCAAGATCACACAGCTAGGAAACAACAGAGCAGGCGTTAAAAAAAAGGCCTTGATGGTTCCCTACTGCTAATGGATCATCAAATGAAATTGCGTAATATTGATACAAAAGAGAAGCTAGCTCAAATGGACTTTGGACTCAGCATTTCAAAACACTTCTCTGACAACTTCATTTCCATTTCAGCAAGATGGGGCCAATAGCACTCCCTCCTGGAGTTGCCCTGACGATGGAGACCACATAGTGAATTGTCAAGTGTCACACGCATACAATTTATGACCCTTACTGCCAACAGTGTTACTGGTTTCCCGCATGTTTATCCTCACGTCTCTGCAAGTTCCTGCTCTAACCTCGGTTTCCCCATTTCTTTCAGGACCAACGGAGGACAAATGTGAAGAACTCTTGTGCAAGTGTGACCAGGAGCTTGCTTACTGCTTAGCCTCAGCTGAGTACCATTTAAAGTACCTCTTCTATCCACGTTTCTTATGTGGGTCGGGCCCGCTCAAATGTGACTGACTAGTTTGACTTGAAATGTTTTGCACAAGGAAATAAAACTCTTTTTTCACTAATCAACAGCCACATTCAGTTCATATTCAGAGGGGAACCGAGTTTAAGTGTTAAAGCTGCAACCTGTGTTTGTTCTTCCTCCCTCTCCAAACTTGGGGCTGGAGCCTGTTTGGTTGCCAGTTTGACTAAGGTCAAAACCCCATCCTATTTACAAAACCATGACAGTGTTTGTAACTGTATTGGATCTGGTACCATGTTTGAGGTTCAACTTTTCTGAAAAGGCTGAGCTTGTCTTCTAACCTGCTCTTGATGAACAAACACCTGCTAAGTGCCTGGCCTTGTTCTAAGTTCTGGGTTGAGGCAATAAACAAGATGACCACATGATACCACCCACCCTTGTGAAGTTCAGGTCTAGTAATTGTTAGCTCAAGAAAGAGTATTCTTGCCCATCCTACTCCACCTTTTTTTTTTTTTTTAAATTTAAATCCTCACCTGAGGATACTTTTTCCATTGAGTTTTAGAGAGTGGAAGGGAGGGAGGAGGTGGAGAGAAAAACATTGACATGAGAGACACATTAATTGGTTGTCTCCTGCATGGGCCCCTACCAGTGCTGGGGAACTCGCAATCAAGGTACGAGGCAAATGCCCTTGACCGGGAATCAAACCCAGGACTTTGTAGGCCAATGCTCTGACCACTAAGCAACCAACCAGAGCCATCCTACCCCATTTTTACTAGTTAAAATTCATTTCCTGATTACAAAATACTGCTTTCTAAAAAAGAAAAAAGGCAAATACAGAGAAAAGGGGAAAAAATTATCCCATTTCCCACAAACCATAATGACCACTTTTAGCATTTTAGTTTGTTGTCCATCAGTCTTTTCTATATTAAAAAAAAAAAAAATGTAGTTGAATCCTGGCTGGTGTGGCTCAGTTGGTTGGGGATCATCCCATGCATGGAAATTTGCTGATTCAATTCCTGCTCATAGCACATCCCCAGGTTGTGGGCTTGATCACTGTTTCTCTCTCCCTTCCTCTCTCTAAAAATCAACAAACGATTCTTCTTTAAAACGTAGTTGAAACTCTTTGTTTCTCCATGTCATTAGAAAATATTTAATTTTTTGTTGCTAATCTCACCTGAGGAAATGTTTCCCCCCCATTGATTTTGAGAAAGAATGGAAGGGAAGGGGAGAGACAGAGAAACATTGATGTGAGACACATCGACTGGTTGCCTCCCGCATGTGTTGGGGATCAAGCTTGCAACTGAGTTATGTGCCCTTGACCAGAATCGAACCCACAACCCTTGTCTCAGACCAAGGCTCTAACCACAGAACAAACTGGCCAGGGCTGGAAACTCCATTTTAAATAGGTATTATGTACCAGTTTATAAATTGCTCACTTTAGAGTATTGGTGGTTTCCTATTTTGACCAATTATTCATGTGTTGGCAATACTTGTGAATACATCTGCCAAATCCCACAGCCCACCTTTTCATCATCCCTTAACTCAGATTTGCAGAAATGGAATTCTTCAAAGGGTCTGAATATTCTAAATGGACACCCTCTTTTGATGCTTGTAAACCTGCTATGACTGAGGTCTGAGGGAGCAGAGGCAGCTGTGGCTCTGGCTCTGAAGTACCTGTCCTCCTGCTGATGATTAGTGCAAGTCCAGCCCAGCCCATTTGCTCTAGGCCAGGTCTCTTTGGCTCTCCCCTGAGCAGATATGGATAGCTGTGGGGAGCTGCCCTGAATGCAGGGGTCCTATATGCCTGAAAGCAGGCATGGGTGTAGGACACAGCTCTCCATGTGCTCCCCTTTCCATTAACCTAAGAGGAAAATTACTACTACCCCTAGGAATGCTGCTAACTGCAGATGTCTTTGCTTTGGGGTAAAACAATTGATAGTAGCCTGCTGACACAGAAGGAGCTGCGAGTTAAGAGGAAGATAGGTGGTTGTAAAAGGTCAGATGGTTGTAAAAGGTCAGGTGCTGAAGGAACTTATCTGTACAGGAACTTATCATGTTAGCAGAAACGGCCACCTGCACGATTGCCTGAAATAAATATTTCCTCCTTCAGAATTGTATTTAAAGGTTGGAAAAATAAAATCCGGGACTGCAGACCTCGGGACTGAGCCCTCCCGACCCCATCTGTTCTTGTCTGTCTTTTTCTTATCCTCACCCCCATTCAGGCACTGTTGGTTGCCGGCAGGTTCCGGCAGATAGCGCCCCATTTGAAGCAGAATATGGGGAGTGGATGGAGGGCACTATTCTAGGAGTCTGGCAGCCTGTAGTCCAGCCTGTGTCCTGCTCCACTAGTGCCACCCAGTCTCCATCTCTTTATCTGGAAAGAACAGCAACCCCTCAAGGCAGGAGACCAGGGATGTGCAAATACTGCGGTGTCCCCAAACTTGCAGTGCCGTCAGCGTCTCCAGTGAGTCATGGGTGTTAAGCAGGAAAAGTCAGGCAGTCCTGGGCCTGATGAGCAAACACAGGAGGAAGAAAACATTTTCCCTCCTTTCACTTTAGATACCTTAAGGGTGACTCCTAGACTCAATGTTCCCATCAGGCAGGGAGACTTCAGCATGACTAGTAGGTTGTAGTGAGCAATTCAGATTTTCATCATGTTTCCTAAACAATTTTTTTTCTACAGAAGTTTTGTCTTTATAAAAAATATTTTATTTTTATTTCAAGTAATTTCTTTAAACTTTCAGATGCAAAGTTTGAGTGAAATCTTCAGAGATACAAAGGATTAATGAATGATTCATGGAGTCACAAAGAAACCCTTTGGATGCAATTTGTCTCGAGGCCTGTCATGGGTCACATTAGAATGAAATAAGAGGCATAGTTCATCTCATTCATATTTACAATTACATTTTGTGTAATTACACTTGCTGTTTTATACATCAGAACAAGATGATAAAGATTATACAGTGTGAGGTCAATGTATAAAATGCTTCATTAAACAAAAGAACTATCTTGGATTTTACATTATTCAAAACAAAGCAAACCTTAAAACAAAACAATTTTTCAAATCCTCACCTGAGGATATGTTTTTTTTTTAATTTTTAAAAATTGATTTTAGAGAAGGGAGAGAAACATCAGTGTGAAAAAAACATTGACTGGGTGCCTCCTGTACATGCCCAGACCGGGACTTGAATCTGCAACGTGGTGTACAGGATGACACTCCATCTGAGCCACCTGGCCAGGGACAATTTTAAGTAGCACTGAGGCAGCACAGCCTATCAATTACCCTGACATCCCACTCAATCCTCCAATTCAGAGAAAGAGATCCAAACTTTCAATGATTAGAAGTTAGAAACAGGATGAGTGTAACTGTCATTCTGGTCTCAGACTGAATCTTTTAGGTATTTAACTCTTCAACCTCTTAGCAACTCTTTAATAAAAACAATTGTCTACTGAATTTTGGTTTTTCCTCTGTATTTTTTTGTGTGCAACTGTCTATGCCTATGACAAAGTCTTCTCCCATTTTCCTAAACTTGACTTCAAGGACGGGCCTGCCTCCAATAAGCCGGATCTCGGGCTGAGTCTCAGAACTCCAGCTTGCCCTGGCAGCCTTGGTCAATCACTGGAGTTAGGACTGCTGACGTGGCAGCCTTCTGATGTCACCCGCACCACGTCCTCTGAGGACCCTGGTTCTATGCAAGCTGTAGGGGACGGGGCCTCCCAAGTTCCCATGAGCAAGAAGTAGATGGGAGGTGCTGCTGCTGTGTCGGCCCAGCTCTGGGCCGTCAGTCCCTGCTGCCACATGATACCAGCAGAGGGACAGAGGACCTGGTTGTAGGCTTTGACAGAGAAAGCAGCACCTTGTTTACTAGGGAAAGAAAACAGGAAGTCGAGCGCACCCAACCTCTCTCCACTTAAGCATCGAAGCTCAGATGTCCAGGAGGCTGCAGGAGTCCCTCAGAGCGTGGGCAGTACCACTCAAAAAACTTGGGTTTCCAGCCGTCGGACTTCCTTGACCACAAGATCGATGTTAATAATTGGGTTAAAGTACAGGGCCCAGTAAAATAAGCAGTTGCAAACAAACTGAGGAATGAGGGGCCAGAACATGGCCACAAAAAGCCCCTGTGTTGATACTTTCCAAAAATGGCTCCACATCCTCTGAGGCACAGTCCTGAAAAAGAGGAGAAGCATTTGAGAGGTGGAATAGTGCTGGCGATTCTACAGACAACACCAAAGTGCTCAGACTTCGGCCCTCTCCTAGTGCAGAGTCAGGTGACCTTGCTTTCTGTCCCCATTGCCTGAGACACTGCTTTGCCTGACCCATCCATCTTCACCTCCCAGGCTGCAGCCTAGACGGTGCTTCTCCAGGGCGCTATCTACACCAGGTGGGGCATCCCACTTTAGCCCCAACTCCACTTGCTTCATCCTGTGTCTCATTTGTATATATTTAATATACATATTTTCTCTGCGAGGCTGTAGACCTTCAGAGTAAAGACTGTCTAGTTATCAAAAGTCTGCAATGCCCAGAAGAAAGCCAGGGGCGGGGAAGGGGCTCAATTACTGTACATGAAGAAAGGAGCTCACTGAATTGAAATAAATGAGGGAGAGTCTTGTCAGGTTCTCAGAACTATTGATAATGCTGCTCCTGATTGATGAAGCCAAGACCTTGTGAGTTCTATAGGACATTTCAGACTTCAAGGATACTGTGGTAATATTACTTCTGCCTGCCAAGCAGCCATTCCTTTCTTCTAACAACACCTTCTAAGTTTTCCTTTGGGGTTGCCTCCCTCCTGTACTCTTTTCCATGTAGTCTGGGTGGGGCTGAAGCCATCCCTGGTGGGGGATGAGTACATGCCTTGAGCCTGGACAAGGAGAGCCCCACATACCCTGTACCAAGCGATGGGTTCAGGTGAGCAAGTGACCCAGTGTGGGCCAATCAGAGAAAGGCATGTGAGCCCGAGACTCACGAGTACTATAGGGAGAGAAGTGCTCTCCTTCCAAGTGCTAAGCTGCTCCGATCTATGCGTGGAGCGACCCAAGGCCCCCACTTAAAGAGGCTGCCTAAGGCTGACCAACAGGAAAGAGTCAGTTGCAAGAGGGAGACAGCGCCAGTTTGGATGGTTGCATTTAGGTCTCTGCATCCAGCTAAGTGGGAAGCCTTAACTGGGCATTTCCCTTTTTAGGAAAGCCAATTCAGATTGGTTTCTGTCACTTGCAACCAAGAGTCCTAAGTCAGTGACTGTCTAGTCTGATTCTCAGTTTAGGCATTGATCCAAAGACTTTATTACTGCTCCAGTTGGCAGCAGAGCAGGATTAGAACTCATGCCCACAGGATCTTTCACCATATGCTTTACCATAATGCTGTTGGTTTTTTATAAAACACTTTCATTTTCCCACTTCTTTATCCCCTAATTATTAAAATCTTCCATGTACACCCTCCACTCCCAGGAATTATGTGGTTGGGTACATGGGATAAGATATATGGAGAAACACTTTAACAATGAGCACCATGAAAACCTCTCCACCCTGCTACCACAAGGTGACTTTTCCTCTTTGCTGCTTAAGTAGGTGCTTAAAAACCAGAGCACGAGGAGTCTTTGTGTCTAAGTAATACTTTAGACACCTTTTCCAGTCCCCGTGGCTCCAACTATATCCAATATAAAAACACACTTACTTCAGTTCACTTCTTGACCAGATCCTCCAAAAGGAGAATAATTCCAGAACCGAGAGTAACATGGCATTGACGATGAGAAACCGAGACGTCCAATAATGGACTTCTAGCCAGTCCCAAGCAAATTCAGCAATCAGCTGGTACGGAAGGAAGGAGTATTTGACAAGGAATTCTCTCCACTGCTTCCATGTGGGCTCTCTAAGATCCTTTAAAAATAACACACAAATAAAAATGGATAAAAAAATTATGAAGATCAACTTTTATACAAAATATAATATTGTGGTTATTCCAACGAATTTTACATTTATTCACACACACACACACACACACACACACACACACACACCACCTAAACCATCTAAAATGAAATTTCCATCAACTCACCTTATAATAATTAATCTTACAATGGCTAAATCTTACCAAAAAGGTTGAACTGAGATGCTTGTTACATAATTCTAGAAGTTCAGAAGTAAAAATCTAATCATGAATGATAAAAAATGGGGTTGATATGAATTGAAATGAACCAGTTTAATAATTTCATCATCACTGCATGTGTAGCTCAGTTTCCTAAATTCAATGTCTTAGCTGTGATAGAAAGTTAATAGGTCATGGAAAAATTAAACACAAACTTTGGAAAAATAATTTTTGGGAAAATAATATCTGATTACAGATATTAGCAGATAATTAACAAAGGTATTTAACTATTCAGAGGCATCCAGAAGTTAATGGAAGGTCAGCACGACCGTGTGCAATGAGTATTCAAAGAAACAAGTCAGCCTGATGCTCAGGCAGGGGTTGTTGGGCTTGTTAAATGGAAAGGTCAGGTAAGCTTCAAAGCTCCCAGTCCAGCAAGGCAGTAACAGCTAGAAAGTGGGTAATTAAAGAAACATTGTGCAAAGGAGCTCATCAGCAAGCTTTAAACTATACCCAAGGCTGAAGTCAGGTAGGATACTTGCCTAAAATGTTTTAAAAAGGACATTAGGAGATTTAGGAATTCTATTTCAACATTTATGGGTGTGGATCATAAATGACAATTCCTATATCCATGTGACTTTTAAAGTCTATTTATATATATTTTTTAATTGATTTTTTTTTTTTATAGAGAGGAAGGAAGAGGGATAGAGACAGAAACATCTATGAGAGAAACTCGATCAGCTGCTTCCTGCACACCCCCTACTGGGAATGTGCCCGAAACCAAGGTACATGCCCTTGACTGGAATCGAATCTCGGACCCTTCAGTCTGCAGGACAACCCCTCTATCCACTGAGCCAAACTGTTAGGGCCTATGTGACTTTTTGATGTAAACAGATCAGAGGGATTGCCCAAGAGCAGCAATGCAAAGGACAATATACCCTCAAAACACAAGAAATCACCTAATCAATGGGATCCACCAATGATTCTGAAGAATGCATGGGTCAAACTGAAGAAACAAGGGCCATGATGGGCAACCATTTCAGGCTATAAAGGACTCCCATCAGTGAGCTGGGCGCTGGCTTACTGTTATATCCCTGTCTTGTGGTAAGAAAAGCAATCGTTCACCCTTTGGGGATCCTATTAAAGACAGATTACCAAGCTAGCAGACTCGTAATCTCACCCTCAGACAATCTGGACCCGTCCTTTCCTTTATAATAAAAGAAATGCTTGTTTTCCCTCCTATACATTTTAAGTCCAGAAGGCAGCCCCTCTTGCTATGCAACGTGGGAAACAAAAGAGGTTTCTTGGGGTGGAAAAGTTCTTTTTAAAAAAAGTCCTCACCCAAAGGTATTTTTCCATTAATTTTTTAGAGAGAATGGAGGGGAGGGAGGTGGAGGAGAGAAAGAAAACATCGATCTGAGAGAGACACATCTAGTGGTTGTTCCTGCACACACCCTGACCCTGGATCAAGCCTGAAACGTAGGTGCCCTTGACTGGGAATTGAGGCCACAACCCTTTGGTCCTCCTGGGCTGATGCTCCCACCATTTAGCCAAACCAGCCAGAGCAAACATTCCTTCTTTATTTTCTTTTGTAAGGGATCTCCTTACAAAATCCAAATGAAAGCCAGTTGTTTGCTCTTTATGACAGGCTACCGCCGAGTCTCCAGTTCTGCAGCACGCTGAGAAATGGTAGAATAAGTTCATTCAAGGCACTCCGCAGACCTACCAAAAGTTTGGTGAGGATGTCCTCCTCGGAGCTGTCTTCTTGCAGAGGACAGATGGTGTGGATGAAGGGCAGGAAGGTGTCTGTGTAGTCAAACAGGTAGAGGTACAGCAGACCAAGCCTGGGGGAACTCCTGAGGGCATACAGCAGGAACAGGGACCTGCCTGGGTTCACAGCCTGCAGAAGATAGTGAGCACAAGGCCATGTTACAACCATGGCAGCCAGCTCCCACCTACACTCGGTCTGCAACCTCATGCCCTTTGCCATCAGCCATTTTTTGCACTGTTTGCATAAACAATGAATGAATAAATGGAGAGAAGAGGCTAAGTTATATAAAGATCCAACCTCTCCCCACAGCTAGGAAGGGGTGGGGGAATGAGAAGCATATTCCGAGGCGCTACTAGTAGAACACAACCTTTTTAGCCAAAACCAGTTTGGCTCAGTGGATAGAGCGTCGGCCTGGGGACTGAAAGGTCCCAGGTTCGATTCCGGTCAAGAGCATATACCTTAGTTGCGAGCACATCCCAAGTAGGGGGTGTGCAAGAGGCAATTGATCGATGATTCTCTCTCATCGATGTTTCTAACTCTCTATCCCTCTCTCTTCCTCTCTGTAAAAAAATCAATAAAATATATTAAAAAAAAAAAAAAGAACACAACCTTTTTAGAAAGCAATTCTGCAAAATTAATCACTCTTTCTAAAAATATTTTTTATTGATTTCAGAGGAGAGGGAAGATGAAGAGAGATAGAAACATCAATGATGAGAGAGAATCATTGATTAGCTGCCTCTTCATGCCCCCTACTGGAGATCAAGCCCACAACCTGGGTATGTGCCCTTGACCGGAATTGAACCCGGGACATGTCAGTCTACAGACTGTCCCTCTATCTACTGAGCCAAACCAGCAAGGGCCAAAATGTATCACACTTAAAAATGTTTTAATTTAACCAATTTATTAGTGGGCACCACTTAACAAACATATTCTGAAGTGAAGAAAGTCTTATGTACAAAATGCTTAGCATTGCATTGTGTATGATAGAGAAAAAATAAAATCTGCGACCTAACTAATAAAGTTCCAGTAGATATTTAACCACTGAAAAATGACTATGAAAAGTTTTGAAAAATGCTCATGAACAAAGATGGAATGATATGAGCATCAATTAGAATAATTACTGAAATGATTAAACACATCAAGAATGTTAAAATCTACAGTTAATGATCCTAAAGAAAGATCAGGGTGGGTCTTTCCTGGTTGCTGGCAGCCAGCCCCGTCCCCTGCCACCAGTCACTGTCTGTGTGTGGGGCAACTGGCGGGGTGATTGGGGCCCCACTCACTTGAACCCACCTTGGCCTGGTGCTGCCCAGGTCTGCCACCATCCACCCTGGTTCCCCATTTACCTTGGGGAGATTGGAGCCTGATGGCTGGGGGAAGGGACCAAGAGGTTGCTCAGCAGTCTCCAATTGGGCAATCAGGGCCTGCGTGCTGGTTCAATTCCGGTCAAAGGCATATACCTTGGCTGCAGGCACATCCCCAGTTGGGGTGTGCGGGAGGCAGCTGATGGATGTTTCTCTCTCATCGATGTTTCTAGCTCTCTTTCCCTCTCCCTTCCTCTCTGTAGAAAAATCAATAAAATATATTAAACAACAACAAAAACACCTATAGAACAATGCTCGTAGTGCTTGCAGCCCCACTGCAGGATTGTGGGACCTACTATATAGTGAGGGTGGGAGGCAGGGTTGTGATGTTTTCTTAAGCAGTTGGGCATGCAGATGATTTAAGTTGTTCTCTATACTCTTTTCAATTAAAAAAAAAAAAAAAAAAAGAATTCACCTTATATTCCCAGAGATTTTGGGGGGGCTTCACACCTAGTGCTTTGACGCGCTCCAATTCCATGAGGATGGCTCTTCTGTGGCTGCTGTTTTCTATAGTATATGGTGCCCTTGAAAATTCTTCCTCTGTCAAAGTTAAAAGCAATCTGTGGTGGAGAAAGTGATAGGAGAATTTTTTTGAGGTTGTGTACTGGAAGCAAACTTTCCACAGAGTTCCAACTTACCAACACAAATAAATACTTTAGCCTTGAGGTAATGTAAGACACTTAATATGTGAAATACTATTAATAGCAGCAAACAACTGACTGCCTACTATCTGCCAATGACTATGTGAAAATACTTTCATAAATCATCACTGATCCATTTAACAATTCTGTATGGTAAGAGGCCTTATGCTCATTTTGTGGATGCGAAAACTGGCTCAGAGAAATAAAGTGACCTATCCAAGCCACATTCTGGTCTGCTTTGCTCATAACCTTTGGTCTTTCAGCTATGTACTCTAACCTCTCACATATTACTGTTTTTTCTTTTTCTTCTTTTAAACATCAGAAATGGGACAATTTGCTGAAACCGGTTTGGCTCAATGGATAGAGCGTCGGCTTGGGGACTGAAAGGTCCCAGGTTCGATTCCGGTCAAGGGCATGTACCTTGGTTGCGGACATACCCCCAGTAGGGGGTGTGCAAGAGGCAGATGATTGATGACTCTCTCTCATCGATGTTTCTAACTCTCTATCTCTCTCCCTTCCTCGCTGTACAAAATCAATAAATAATATTAAAAAAAAGAAATGGGACAATTTTATTTATTTCATTGGAGAGGAGGTAGAGAGAGAAACAGAGAGACATCGATATGAGAGAGAAACATCAACTGGTTGCCTTTTGTAGGTGCCCCAATTGGGTATTAAACCCACAACCTGGGTATGTGCCTTGACCTGGAATTAAATCTGCCACCTTTTGGTGTATGGGACAACGGATGCTCCAATCAACTGAGCCACACTGGCCAGAGCTTACTCTGCTTTTTAAAATTGTGTGTGCGTCAGCAGATGATTGGATCAAAAAACTACGGTACATCTACACAGTGGAATACTATGCTGCCATAAAAAGAAGGAATCCTCATCATTTGCAGCAACCTGGATAGAACTAGAGAACATCATGCTGAGTGACATAAGCCAGTCAATGAAAGAGAAATACCACGTGGCCTCACTCATTTATGGATATTAAAGAACATTATAAACTGACAAACCAAAAGTCAGATATAAAGACAGTAAAGCAACAAGCAGACTGTAAAATTACAGCGGTGAGAGTAGGGAGATCTGGGGGAGATAAGAGATCAACCGAAGGACTTGTATACATGCATATAAGTACAACCAATGGACACAAAACTCTGGGGAGGGAGGGTACGTATGGGGAAGGCAATGTTAAAATATGTACATGGATAATAATTTAATAAAAAAATGAAAAAAAAAATAAAATTGAGTGTGCAACCCTAATTGGTTTGGTCAGTGGACAGAGAGTTGGCCTGCGGACTGAAGGGTCCCAGGTTTGATTCTAGTCAAGAACATGTACCTTGTTTTTGGGCACATCCCAGGTGGGGAGTGTGCAGGAGGCAGCTGATCGATGTCTCTCTCTCATCGATGTTTCTAACTCTCTATTCCTCTTCCTTTCTCTCTGTAAAAAATCAACAAAAATATATTTTTAAAAAATTGTGTGTGCATAGAAAAAAAGTTGGGAAGAAAGCCAATAAAACATTAGGACATTAGAAGTAGTTGTTTTGGGGTATTAATTTAATAAGAATAATTGTAGATGTCTTATCTCTTCTCTTTCATCAGAAAACACGAATCCACCCGCACAGTGATTCATGTTAGAAACTCCCTTGTGCATTGGCAGGGGAGCCACCACAAGCCCTGCTGGAGGCCTGTGCACTGATGTCCTTCTGTGGGTAATTTGGTAATATCTAAGTAGCAAAGGTCTACTCCCTTTGATCCAGCAATTCCAGGTTTAGGAATCTGTCCTCTGGAAGAAAGACAGTTCAGTTATGCAAAAATATATTGTATTAACTAGAATTTTTTTAAAACTACAATTCTGGGCTGGAGGAGGGGGCACACTTTTACACACACACACACACACACACAAAAAAAAACAAAAAAACCCCAGACAATTACAGTGGGAGCATTCTGGTTCCACAAGAGTCATATATTGGAAGTTCAGTTCAGGAAGGAAAGTGGAACAGTCACACAGCCTGGTAGTGAGTGGATTCCAAGTCTGAAACAAGCAGCTACTCTCAGCACTGCATGGTGTTCTAAGTAACATCTCTATACAGTCCCTCCAAGAAAGGGAGGGATCCCAGTAAAGATGGACAGTCTCTGGAAGGGAAGGGTTTGTTGATGGGCAATAGCAGGCCTCCTCAAGCAACTTGTGAGTTCCTCATACTAACGAGTTCCCCCAGATACTTGGTACAAGGTTGTGTGAAACTGTCTATGAAGGAAAAAGGAAATAATCCAAATATATTTTGGTAGAGATCAATTAAATAGACTCTAGCACAGCAGTCGGCAACCTTTCGGACCTCACAGACCACCAGTGGTCTGAGGAGACCTCTGCTCTAGCATATAAACATACGTATGTTTATGTGTACATGTACACAAATATGTAAATATAGACATAGATCTATTTAGTACACCGTATTTTCAGTTTAAAACAGTTTGACAGTTCCTCAAAAAGTTAAACACATTTATGATCCAGGAATTCCACTCCAAGAGTACTTAAATATATGCCCACAAAAAACTTGTACACAAATGATCACAGCAGAATTGTTCATAAGAGGCCTAAACTGGAATCAACCCAAATATCCACAAACTAAAAGAATGGATAAATAAAATGTGGTATAGCCACATAATGGAATATTATTCAGCCATAAAAAATGAATGCTACTTGGATGAACTCTTAAAACGTGATAAGGAGGATCCAAGATGGCTGCGCCCAGGTGAACAACTAGCCGCAGCCGCACACAACAATTTCAATAAAATACAACTAAAATATAAAACGGACATTGCCCAGAACTACAGGAAGGTTGACTGACTGGAAAATCTACAGCGAGAAGCAAGGAGAAAACCAGAAGGAGGCGCGGAGGAGCTGGAAAAGCCCAAGGTACGGAGACGCGGCACGCGGAGAGGACGGAGCCGGAGAGGAGGGAGCCCGAGTGCCTGGCAGGCGTTCCCTAGCGGAAAGGAGACAAAACTCCGACTGTGCTGGGCCCCCGACTGCTCTGAACCCCAGTTCTAGGCCAGACCCCGGGGACCCAGGCTCAGCCATAGGGAGCCGGGCTGTAAGGCGGAACCCCGGGAGAGGCAAAAGGAGGTCCCGGAGGAGCGCACAGTGCGTGCAGAGAAGGGACAGTCGGCTGTGCCGCGGGATTGCCCTGACGGGAAGGAGACTGGGGCTCCAGACTGCTCTGAACGCCACCTCCAACTCCACTTCCAATTGAACTGAACCCCAATACCGGGCTCATTGTGGGAGAGCATAGACTGTTTGGCAGCAGGCGAAAATCGAGGGCACCTTTCTCTCAGAGGCGCCGGCAGCGAGCACTGAAGGACCCGAATAGGGCGGGGCTGACGAAAGCCAAAGCTGCAGGCTCCACCCTGAAACCCCGTCCCATCTGTAACTGCGAAATGCGACAACAAAATAGATCACAAACGAAAGAAATGGAGGACAAAAAGCGTCTGGATATAGAGTTCAAATATACACTTACAAGGTTTTTCAAGAATTTCCTAGAAAAGATGGATAAGGCCTATGAGGATATGAAAAGAGATCAACTAGAATTAATAAGGAGTCAACAAGAAATGATAAGGGATCAACAAGAAATAAAGAATACATTGTCTGAAATAAAAAATATTTTACAGAGTCCTAAAAACAGAAGGGAAGATCGTAAGAATCAAGTCAAAGATTTGGAACATAAAGAGCCAGAAGACACTCCTCCACAGAAGCTAGAAGGCAAGAGAATCCAGAAAATTGAAGATAATGTAAGAAACCTCTGGGACAACTTCAAGCGAACCAACATCAGAATTATGGGGGTCCCAGAAGATGAGAGAGAGCAAGATATCGAAAACATACTGAAAGAAATAGTGACAGAAAACTTTCCCCACCTGGTGAAAGAATTAGACTTACAAGTCCAGGAAGCGCACAGAACTCCAAACAAAAGGAATCCAAAGAGGACCACACCGAGACACATCATTATTAAAATTCCAAGAGCAAAAGACAAAGAGAGAATATTAAAAGAAGCAAGAGCAAAGAAGGTAGTAACCTATAAAGGAGCATCTATACGATTGTCAGCTGACTTCTCAACAGAAACCATGCAGGCCAGAAGGGAATGGCAAGAAATATTCAAGGTGATGAATAGCAAGAACCTACAGCCAAAATAATCTACCCAGCAAAGCTATCACTCAGAATTGAAGGCCAGATAAAGAGCTTCACTAATAAAAAAAAGCTAAAGGAGTTCATCACCGCCAAACCAGAATTATATGAATTGCTGAAGGGGGTTCTTTCAGAAGAGAAAGTAAACAAAGATAAAAATTATGATCAACAAATACGTAACTATCAACAAGTGAATCTAATAACCAAGGAAATTAAAAAAATCTGATGAACAATATTAACTGTTGAATATAATAGAATCAGAGGTATGGAAGGGGAGTGAACTGACGATTCTTGGGGGAAAGGGGAGAGGGGGGCGTGGGAAGAGACTGAACATAAACTGTGCACCTATGGATGAGGACAATGGGGAGAGGGGAAAGGGCAGAGGGTGGGGTGGGAACCTGGTGGAGGAGAGCATTGGTGGGGGGGGAAAAAGGGAACATTTGTAATAATATGAACAATAAAAACTTATTAAAAAAAATAAATAAATAAAAAACAAAAAAGATAAAAAAAAAAAAAAAAAAAAAAAAACGTGATAAGTGAACAAGCCAGACATAAAAGGCCACATATTGTATAATTCCATTTGTATTAAATATTCTGAATAGGCAAATCCACAGAGACAGACAGTAGAATGGTGGTACATGGGGCAGAGTGATGGGGGAAATAAGGATTGACAGCTAAAGGGTAAGAGCTTTCTTTGTGGGGGTGATGAAAATGTTCCAAAACTAGAACATTATTGTATCTGTGAATACATTAAAAACCACTGACTGTACACGTTAAATGGTGAACTTTCTGGTATGTAAATATGTCTCAAGAAAGCTGTTGTAAAAGATGTCAGAAATGTGTCCAAGGTTTTGCTCCTCACCTTCCGTTTACTCTTTCGGCTAAAAACCTGTCTCTGTAGAGAGAGGCCCAGGGGCCCAGCTGCTCCAGCCAGAGGACAACCTCTTCCGCCGTCCATTTGGCCACCGCCTTGTGCACCAGGAGGTCGTGCTCGGATTCCCTGCTGCTCCAGTGATACACGAGCAGGACCACCTGCGGAAAAGTGACAGGGTTTTTAAGACACAGCGAAGGTAGAGGCGCCAGTTTCTAAATAGGTGAATGTGGGGCAGGGAAGGGAAGAGGCTGAGCTTGAAGGGAATTATGCCAAGTCTGTACACAGAAGCAGGGCAAGGCCAGTGCCAGGAAGCGGAGGAGCACGACTCTTGGCAGGCTCAACTCTCTGCTGACTGTTGGGTCGTAAGGCAAGAGAGACCAGAGTGGGACTCTTCACAGGGTACCGGGGAACACTGAACCCATGACCCCATCATCCTGGCCAACATGACTAACTCATGTGCTTTTTCTATCGAAAAATTTATAACGTTTAGATTTCTGTAGCATGGAACTTAAATAAAGGAAATAGTCTTTACATTGGGAGTTAGTAAAAGGCTGTGCTCAGGACTCTATCAAGGGAGACATGGTCTCATATTCCAATTCTGTCACCTATTTCCTCGTCTCTAAAATGGGAGGAAGATGAAATGAGAGAAAGTTAACATTTACCTGGCTCTGTCTATTATGTTGTCTACTTGAGTAAGCAACATCCTCAAAGAATCATACAACTCAGCAGATTACAACGATTGCGCTGAATTACAACAATCAGCCATGTCATCAATCATTTAGGTTATTTAAACAGAACTGGCTTCAGTAGAAACCCTGGGAGGGTGGGGACAGTGAAAAAGTTATAAACTTACTGCCACACTAGTTAAAGCTGTGAGCACTCCTGAAAAGAATCCCCCTCCTCTCTGCTGATTCACTCGGCCTGTGTTGGGAGCTAAAGAAATCTGATCATTCCCATATTTCTGAAAGGCTGCAAGACTCTGGACTATGTCATTATTCTGCTGAATGTCTTCAAATCGCATCCTAATGGCATCAGGAAATAATTTTTCAATGGCATCCCTATGGAGAACAGAAAAAAAAAAAAAATCACAACAGAGTTGTTTTTCTAAATATACTTACAATGTTTAAAAGCCAAAACAAAACTGTCAACATTTAATAATATGCAAGTACTCTAGTACTTTTGAAACAGCAAAAAAGTAGGACGTATTAAGAAAACAGCTAAATAAAACACAGTATATTAATACAATGGAACACTACATGGTTTTAAAAATGAATTTACTGGGTATCAATTTATCAAGATGGATAATTTAAGACATACATATTGTTGAATGAAAACAGTAAACTTTAGAACTATACAGATAGAATACACTGATAAACTTTAGAACTATACAGATAGAATACCGATATATATATATATATATATATATATATATATATATATATATTTTTTTTTTTTTTTTTGTTTTGTTTTGTTTAAAAGTCTGAAAGAAATCACAACTAAGTCATAACTGAAGCTACTGTGGGACAAAGGAAGGAAGGATTATGAGGTGGGGATGGGGTCAAGACATTTTTAGCTTTATCAGTAATGCTCTAATATTTTAAAAGTAATGCAAACAAATGAATGTATGTATGTACTTCTTAGGTCAGTGGTCAGCAAACTCGTTAGTCAACAGAGCCAAATATCAATAGTACAACAATTAAAATTTCTTTTGAGAGCCGAAAACCGACTTCTGCGCATGGGCCACGAAGTTTCAATTGCACTATATATAGATAGCCTTTTCCCCATTAGACCTAGGGTGTTTTCACTGAATACACAACAATAAAAAGTATCATATGGCCTGGCTGGTGTGGCTCAGTGGTTAAGTGATAACCTATGAACCAAGTCACAGTTTGATTTACCGTCAGGGTACAAGCCCAGGTTGTGGGCTTAATCCCCAGTGTGGGGGCGGGGAGGGGGTGCAGGAGGCAGCTAATCAATGATTCTCTCTCATCACTGATGTTTCTATCTCTCTCCCCTTCTCCTTTCCTCTCTGAAATCAATAAAAAAATATTTTTAAAATGTATTATATGGCAAAGGATTACAAGCAATGGTCTGATAACAAGAAATTCTTGACTGTAAACAAATCACAGTCACCTATGAGGAAGGAAGGGAGTCTGGGTTTTCAGGTCCTTGAGCTCCCCGATTTATATCCCAGCAAATTCAGAATGACAGCAGAAGTCAGCCCTGTGTCTCTGTGTTTTTCAGACATGGCTGCCCCAGTAAGAGAAACATATCGAATAAGCTGCATGTGCTGTTAACATGGACTGAACATACCTGAGGAGAATATTGACTCTGGGGAAACCTTCCCATTTTTCTCTGCATTCTGGACACTCTGTTTTCTTTGAAGAGGTCCACCATAAAGCTAGGCAGTGCCGACAGAAGCTGTGCCCACAGTTCAAGGTGGTGGGGTTAATCAGGATGTCGTAACAGCAGTGGCAAGAAAATTCACTAACAGAAATCTGAGGGCTGGTGCTCTCGAGGGGATCATCTTGCTCCAGGGTCATCGTGTGCAGGTCATGTTGCTGAGTCTCCTCCATCTCTTAGCAAATCGTGGGATGCACAGGCATAGAAAATTTCAGACTTAGAAAACTGCTGTAAAGCATCATTAAATCTAGAAAGAGACAGCAACAGAAATAGGACAATTAGTTTAGTAGGTATTTGAGATTATTGCCATTCAATTAAAGCTAATTTTAAAATGTGACAAATTTGATTTCTAAAAATTCACATTCCAAAAACCAGATAAAACATTATTGAATTTCTTCCTGGCCTATCTGTCTTACTCTTGAAAATTAGATAAAGCAAAGTAGTGTAGTGGCAAGTTCAATAGACTTGAGCGACAGTGTGGAAAATTCTAGATCCTTCTCTTTCACTAATTTCTTCTGAAAATTTAATTCTCTACCCTCAGTTTTCTCAATTAAAATCTTTTCAGTGGGGCCGGGACCGGTTTGGCTCAATGGATAGAGTGTCGGCTTGGGGACTGAAAGGTCCTGGGTTCGATTCCGGTCAAGGGCATGTACCTTGGTTGCGGGCATATCCCCGGTAGGGGGGTGTGCAAGAGGCAGCTGATCGATGACTCTCTCTCATCGATGTTTCTAACTCTCTATCTCTCTCCCTTCCTCTCTGTACAAAATCAATAAAATATATTTTAAAAAAATCTTTTCAGTGGGTGTGATTTATTTTTATTTATTTATTTATTTTATATGTACTTTATTGATTTTGTACAGAGAGGAAGGGAGAGAGATAGAGTTAGAAATATCGATGAGAGAGAGTCATCGATTACTTGCCTCTTACACACTCCCTACTGGGGGTATGCCCACAACCAAGGTACATGCCCTTGACCGGAATCGAACCTAGGACCTTTCAGTTCCCAAGCCGACGCTCTATCTATTGAGCCAAACCGGTTTTGGCCAGTGGGTGTGATTTAAAATAAACCAGCTTCTTGGCCTGGTAAAATGTCTGGAGTTGGCAATAATAGATGTATTTAAGCCCTAGCCAGTTTGGCTCAGTGGATAGAACATTGGCCTGCAGATCAAAGTTCCTGGGTTCAATTCCAGTCAAAGGCATGTACCTTGGTTGCAAGCTCCTCGCTGGCCCGGGCCCTGGTCAGGGCTCATGCAGGAGGCAACCAACTGATGTGTTTCTCTCACATCGATGTTTCTGTCTGTCTTTCCCTTTCTCTTCTGCTCTCCTTAAAAATCAATGGAAAAATATCCTTGAGTGCAGATTAACAAAAAAACCCCACATGTATGTATTTCATGTAAATAACACATTTTGTCCAAATAAATCTGCCTCTCCTTTAGGTAATTATTTATTTTATAAGCATTCGATTTCAGAGGCTCCCACAGGAGCAGTTCCAGGAAGTGAGTGAAGCCTTGTTTTCGAGATGCTCTGTGCCCGATCAACCCCACCATGGCTCAATATTACCCTTTTCCCCATATCAACCCAAACATGCATATCATGCCCTCTGGATCTGGCCAATTTGTCCCAGAGAAATATGCTAATATCACTAATATGCAAATGGCAAAGGACCCATTCTCTTCTTATTCTCAGCTGGGTCTCAGGAGACTTTTTGATTAAGAGGCAGTATGATACCATGGAGTTAGAATCTCAACTCTCCAACTCACTAGCTGTGACTGCCATAAAATTTCCTGAGCTCCCTGAGACTGTTTTCTCAGCTATGAAATGGTGGGAACAGTACAAAGCCTTCAAGACTTACTGTGAGGATTAGAAACTGTAACAGTGAAGTGGTTAGGATGGTGTGTGGTTGTAAACAGGGGCTAAAAAATGATTACTTATTGTGTTCCCAGTATTATCACAGTATAGACACTAGTGGGTGAGTTTCTTAATGTTGCTATTGTGAAAAGAAAAAAAAAAAAAGTAACTCAGTCACACTGATCACACAGAGCTCAGTTTACACTCTGCAGGCACAGTAGGTAAGAACACAAGTCCCAAGTCTGGCCAGTGTTGCTCAGCGATTGAGCGTTGACCCATGCCCCAGGAGGTTGCCAATTCAATTCTGGGTTGCAGGCTTAGTACCCCGTAGGGGACATGAAGGAGGCAGCCGATGATGTTTCTCTCTGTCTCTCCCTCTCCCTGAAATCAATAAAAACATATAGAAAAAAAGGAAAGAAAAAAAAGAACACTGGTTCCAGGACTGGGCTGCCTTGGTTCTTACCTCCCCCCTGCCCTTTACCAGTTGTGGATCTGGACCTCTTTGAGTCTCAGCTTTTTCATGTATAAATGGGGGTGGTAATAGATTTACTCCATCAGGGGTTTTTCGTTTGTTTCTAATATTCTAAGAATTTTTATGACGAGTTAAAGAGAAGAGTCCATATTAACTTGAGAATATCGGTCACTCTGTATCACTGAGTCTATCTTTTTTTTAAAAGGTATTTTTCAATTACAGTTGATGTTCAATATTATATTTGATTCAAATCTCCTTTGGGAGGTTTTAAGGACGAAATGAGAAAAATGCAAGTAAAGTGCGTAGTACGGATTGGGCATATGGCAATTTACCTAATTTTCAAATGTTGTGATACGAGAATTTTATCACCCCTTAAAGGGTGAACATTTTTACACAGAACATTTTTACACTATAATTTAAACCAGCAAATCTATAAATAAAGATCAGAAGAACATACAATGAAGTATTAATAGTGGGTGTGTTGGGTAGAAAGGGTCATGATTGGTTGGTTGGTGTTTTTTTGTACGTATGAAGCTGAGAGCGAACCTGCAACCCAGATATGTGCCTTTGACCGGGAATTGAACCTGAGACCCTTTGATCACAGGCTGATGGTCTAACCATTAAGCAACACTGGCCAGAGCTGTTTAGGAACCTTGAAAAATTTTCTAAGTGTTTTACCTCGTAGTCTTCAAATTGCTAAAGAAGTGAGAGATCTTATATATAGGTTTCTGGAAAAAGAAATCATATTTTGAGTAGTTTCTTTAATTGGTTAATAGTTATTAAACAACTACCATGTGGACAGTATCATCCCAGGAAATAACTGAAACACTGCTATTTACTAAACTTTTCCTATGAGCTTTGACACTGGGAAGGCCCTGTCTGGACTCAGTGTCAAAGCAAAGATACAAGGCTGCCATTGAGGCCTGGGCAAGGGGTCAGAAAAGATGGGCCTGACTTGGGCGCTGCTCTCAGTGTTTTCATGGGGAGCAGTGAGTGATACAGGAGCTACAGGTCAGATACAGAGTCTTATGTGCCTGGTTAAAGACAGGTGAGCCAATGGGAGCACAAAAAGGTTTCAGAGGCAATGAGATCAGCACAGCTGTGCTTTAGGATTATAAATCTCATCAAGAAGGATTAGGTTGGAACAAGTTACAAATTAATTGTTATCACTGTTGGAACTAGGTGATAAAAATGAAAATGGCAAAGATAGTAAAAGAAAGGGATCAATCTATTCAAAAGATATTAAGAAAATAATTTATGGCCATGGCCGAGGCCGGTTTGGCTCAGTGGATAGAGCATCAGCCTGTGGACTGAAAGGTCCCAGGTTCGATCCCGGTCAAGGGCATGTACCTTGGTTGCGGGCACATCCCCAGTAGGGGGTGTGCAAGAGGCAGCTGATCAATGATTCTCTCTCATCAATGTTTCTAACTCTCTATCCCTCTCTCTTCCTCTCTGTAAAAAAAATCAATTAAATATATATTAAAAAAAATAATTTCTGTCTCTCCCCTCCTTTCTACTCTTTAAAAATCAATGGAAAAATATGCTCAAGTGAGGATTAAAAAAAAAAAAAAAAGAGGGAGAACAAGTGTATGGATTTTAATCATTTGCAGAGAAATGGCTGTATATATGAAGTTAATTTCTCACAAATTAGCCTTTTAAAACTATAATGCCCCAGTAGTTCCTAGCTTACCAGATCTGAAAGTTTGTTTTTCATGAGAGAAAACCAATCACCCACTGACATCAGAGAGTATTTTATAACTCCTATTTTGAAAAATTGAGGTGGCCACTGTTTTATAATTGTCTTAACAAGCTAAAAACTGCATGGACTTTAAATACAACTTAGGAATTTAGCTAGTTTCATTTTACCCTAAATTCAAAAAGTGAAAGCTAATAGAAAGAATGTATATCTTAACCAAATTCAGTTGATCTTTTCTGCTGTTTCTACATATATCTATTAGGGTTATTTCCATTAAAAAGAAAAAAAAAAGCAGTAATTTTAAATGATGAAAGTGCCTCTTCAGTGATAAAATCGAGCGCAGACACTGAAGTTCCCAGCTGTGGGTTCTGACCTGGGTAACACACCCACCTCCACTGGTGGTGAGTAAATGCCGCTTTGAGAAGGCCCAGTGTTCATGAGGATGCTTATAGCTGTTCTCAGCACGCTCACCAGCAGGCTGGCGCTGTGAGGTTCCTGGCTCTTTCTGAGCTCCTTCAGAAGTAAACATGGGTTCGAACATCCCTGTAGCCTTCTGGTCTTTTCCCCTTGTCCCAAAGGCCTCAGGGAGACTGGGGGCCTACGGTTAGGATTGATGCAAGAGTCATCCCATTCCCACCTCCAGAGCCCCGTTTACATGGACACACTTAAAAGTCTGTCCTTATAACACTACCTTAGCCCAACAATGTAATCAATAACAGTTATTAGTTCAAAGGACTGAGCTGCTCCTTTACTATCAAGGCCACATCAGAGAGCTGCTATTGCAAAGCTGGGAAGTCCAAACCAGTGAAAACAAACTAGAATCTAACAACACTGCATTTTGAAACATGAACTCTCACATGTGACTCCTACAGTGAGTATGGTGTCCTAGGAGACAAATAAGCAAACATTCACAAGAGAAATAGGGGTGAGGTCCTGGCCAGGGTGACTCAGTTGGTTGGGTGTTGTCCTGAGCACTGAAAAGCTGCTGTTTAATTCCCAGTAGGCATGCAGGGGCGGCAAATTGTATTTCACTGTCATGATGTTTCTCTCTCCTTCTCCCTTCCTCTCTCTCTAAAAATCAATTAAAAATCTTTTACAAAAGGAAAAAGAAATAGGGGTGAGGGTAGTGGGAGCACCCCATTTCTGGCACCCAAGTCCACCTCTGGGACACCACTATTAAACAATACCCAAATACTACAGACATTAGCAAATGTTCAAAGAGTGACTGCGCATTTCTAGTGACTATGAAAAAAAAAAGTGCCCAAATGTAAGCAGGGCAAGAGTCAGCGATGGCAATAAAAGAGACTTATTGTGCACTTCTGGCAGGTGGCAAAACTGGCTTTCATTAAGAGAAGCGTTTACAGGAGAAGCATTTCCAGGCTTACCATACAGAACCTTGTGTTTTTCCTGGCCCCAAACAGATCTTCTTTCTGGGTGAGGTCAGAAATCACTAGGACAAAGGTAGCGAGTAGCTCACTGGATGTTGACTTGCTGCCTGAACGTCTTCCCCCCATGATTTACTGCCTGTGAGTGGTGTTGAGCAAGAACGAACTGAAAAGGGTGTCCTGGCTCTCTCTAGAGACTGTCCTCTTTCGTTTTTGTTACATGGCATATATTAAATGATCCATCTGTATTAAATGCTGTAGATATACAACGTCTCAGAAAATTATCAAAAACTACTGGTAAGTACCAGTAAACCATACCTTAGCTGTTATTTATAAGCGATTCTGTTATGATTCACACATTAAAAACCGACGTGTCCTTTCCAGGTTTAGCTTGCTCTTATACTTTTTGCACATTATTGTTTGAGTAGTCTTTGCCTCTTGGACCAAATCCTGAGGTCAGAAACCAATGATCACACCTGAGTTGCTGGGCTCCAGAAATTTGTAAATGAAAATCAAATAAACAAAAACTGACTCCCTCTCACAGTAATTTCCTAGATCCTCCATCAGAATCAACTGGGAAGTTTGGTGCTCTCTGGGGAAGAGGATGTCACCAAAGGATATCTGGGACAGAGGCTCAGGAATGTACATGGTAAGCCACTCAGGAGAGATTCTTATGCACAAAGAAGCTTGGTAACTACACAGCTGTTCCATATGGGAGCATCTCCTTTTATTGTGCTTCTATTATTGCAGTTCACAGATGTTGCATTTTTTAAATTAAAGGCAGGTCCCTTTACCAGCAAAAAGATTGCAACTTGCTTTATTGAGATGGCCTGGAACCAAAACCAAACCCACAATATTTCTGAGGCAGGCCTGTACAACAAGCATTTATATGCCCTAAATATAAGTTTCAGATAACATGGGTAAGGTGTGAACAGAATAAAGTTTCAGTAACACTACTAATCTCATGTACTCTTCCCCCCAGTCCCTCCACGCACCACTGCCCAAACCATCCTCCTGAAACACAATTCGGATCAAGCCCTTCCTTTGCTCAAGCCAGTTCCACCAATTATTAGTTGTTTGGCCTCAGGCAAACCGCTCGACCTTTGTTCTGTTTCCTCATGTGTAAAATGGGGATATTCATAGCATCTCCATGATAGGGTTGTTGATGAAATGAATTAACATGTGCACAGCACTGAGAATAGTGCCTAGCACCTAGTGCAATTTAAGAGTTAACTATTATTATTGTGGTTATCCCTTACTATGCAACTATTTCATACTCTAGTCCTACATATTAATTCCTGCTCCTTTGCCATATCACGATGTTCCCTCCGTCTGTAACCCAGCTCCACACCATCCACGTCAAAAGTGTCCAGCTGGCAAGACCCAAATTAACTTTCTATTTGAACGTCTTTAACGATTACCTGCCTTCCGCCCAATTAATCCTCCCTGTCTCTGTGCATTAATATGTTACCTCACCTCAAATACTGAGATTTCCCTGGAGAAGCTGTTATAGTTCAGTCAGTATAGTCCCCAGAATGAGAGAAACCTGGGTTCCAAAGCAGGCCTCATTTATTCTCCCTGAGCCTCTAATTTCCCATTTAGTTCCGGAAAATAATATATACGCTGAAGGAGGCTTAAGTGGTAACTTTTAACCATAACTACTGAATAGTCCACACGTATTAAAACTATTAATAGTTGTATTTACCGAGTATCAGCTATATAAGTAGTGCCAGCACCAAATACTAGAGCATTTAAAAAACAAAAGAAGAAAAAAAGAACTGGAGAAACAAAATTTTATCAAGTTTTTGAAGACAGACAGGTAACAAAACAGCCATAGCAAAAACAAACCAAATAATTCGCTACGCACGTGTGCACCGCCAGGACTCTGGGGTGTGTTGAGGAATGGAAGGGGGAGTGACTCTCCTTCCTATTGGCCTTTCGGAGTGTGACATAAAGACAACCCCCCATGGACTAACGAATGGGCTTCGGCGGGGAGGACCCAACAGCTATTGACTCACTCCTCTCCACCAAAGTAGGAGGGCAGCCACCCGGGGCACTGACAGGCCCTGCCAAAGATTCCGTTAGACCCACAGCCTGAATCTTATGTGCCTATTAAAAAAAAAAAATTCCCTTTTGCACAAGTTCAGATTTCTGCCCGTAAGTACGGAACCACAGAGCTGGTTCTAGCCTTTCCCCAGCGTGACTGCGCGGTTTCACTTTCGCCTTCCTGCGCACCCGTTATCCGGGTTTCAAACGGGGAGCAATCGTTCCGTTTTGTGGCAGGGAGTGCCTCGCCAATTAGAACAGAATAAATGCCCAGCCAGGCATTCAGGAGAAGCCTAATAAATTCTGATCGCACTGTCGCTGGCTGCGGCAGGTGCTCCTCGGGGGCACCAATCATTCCCCCCTTCACCGTGTGTGTGTGTGTGGAAGCGACCCCCCCCCCCCTCGCCCTGGGGTGATGCCGGAGCGACAGGTGGATGCTGACCCTCGAGGGCACACCAGCTTGGGCCGCTGACCCGCCGTGGGCTCTAGGGAAGGGATGGGGGGAAGTTGGCCAAGAAGGGGGTCTTCTGCGCCTCAAGGCCAGGACTGAGGTTGCTCAGAACTCGGGCCTGGGTAAGGAAAGCCCCGCGCGCCTCCTCGGACCTCGAACCCCGAACCCCAGGATGCCCGTTCTCTACCCTCACGCCCCGAAATCGAGCCCGGGTCTCCCTCTCGCTCTCCCCGCCGCGCGGCTGCTTACCCCTGCTCTCAGGCCGGGGCCCACGCGTCCGCTGCCCCAGCCTGGACCCCGCGGAAGTAGAGGAGGTGGCAGCTTCACTTCCGGAAGTAACCTAAGAAAGCCAGGGAAGGTGCCCGGGGCTCGGACCATAGAGGAAAGGTCGCACTGGTTTCCCAGCTCCCCCACCCCGCGACCTCCCCGCCGCCTAGAGCGGCCACTCCCCGCCGAGGAGCTCCACGCATGCGTACCAAGCCGGCCCCGCCCCTTCCTCTTCAGGGACCCGGAGGGCAGTGCGTGTAACGCCCTGAGGCTGGGGTTCCTGTGCGTGTGCTCCTGGCTGCTGTGTTTGAGTCTGGAGTTTCGCAGAAATTAAAATAATATGACAAGTCCGCAGTGTACTTCACGTAGGTTTTTTCCCCTCCCGCATTCACATTTTTATGCAGAAAATCAGAGGACTGTGGCTAACGTACCATTTACAGTATAATCAGAATGAAAAGGACCACTTCCCCCCCCCCCCCCCTCAAGCCTCTTGATACGTTGAGAATTCATGCTGAGTTAATCCGTTTTAAATGGATGGTCTGGAGATGGTAAAATTGGTCATTTGGATGACTTCTACCTATGAAAGTGGCAAAGAGTAAAAAGAAATCTGCCTACCCTGACATCCAATCAGGAAATATTTGTTCCCTGATTGGATGTCAGGATAGGCAGATTTCTTCTAAACAGAATGCCCCGCCTGTGCCAGTGCCCGAAGTCTGTGAACTCATTTTCTGGAGGATAATCTGGTAATAGGTGTCAGCGTGTGTGTGTGTGTGTGTGTGTGTGTGTGTTAAAGATATATGTAATATAAAAGTTACCATTTTTTCCCCTTATTTTTAAGTGTTACAGTTCAGTGGCAATAAGTATATCCACAGTGTTATGCAACCATCGTTACTATTCATTTTCAGGATTATTTTTCATATTCCCAAACTGAAATTTCATATCCACGCAACACCTCCTCATGGTCCCGTTCCCACAGCCTCTGCCTACTTTCTGTCTCTATGACTCTGACTACTCTAGATACCACACATAATTGGAATTGTACAGTATTTTATTATGACTGGCTTAAGTCACTTACGTAAATAAACTGAACTGCAACCTTTTAGTGTTCAGGACGATACACCAACCAACTGAACAACCCACCCAGGGCAGAATTTTCTTATTTAAAAAAAATATATATATTTTATTGATTTTTTTACAGAGAGGAAGAGAGAGGGATAGAGAGTTAGAAACACAGAGAAACATCGATCAGCTGCCTCTTGCACAACCCCTACCGGGGATGTGCCCGCATCCAAGGTACATGCCCTTGACTGGAATCGAACCTGGGACCTGTCAGTCAACGCTCTATAGGCCAACACTCTATCCATTTAAGTCTAAGTAATAGTCCACTTTATGTACATATCACATTTTGCTTATTCATCTGTTGATATGGACACTTGGGATGTTTCCAGATTTTGGCTATGGTGAAAAATGCTGCTAATAAATGAATTAGCATATATAATTACCCATAAATTAAAATAATATTACAGTCCAAAGTGTACTTTGTATAGGATATTTTTGGTGAAGTTAAAAAACTAAGTGGAATTGCTGCATCATATAATTATATTTTTAATTATTTAAGAGCCACAATAGTGGCTGCACATTTTACATTCCCTCCAGCAATACAGGAAGTTCTAATTTCTCAAAAAATGGATATGAAATGGTAGCTTATTGTGATTTTGATTTGCAGTAGTGACATTGATCATTTTTTCATGTACTTGTTGGCCATTTGTATATCTTCTTTGGATAAATGTTTATTCAAGTCCTTTTTACATTTTTTAATAGGATTGTTTTTGAGTTGCTGAGTTGCAGGAATTCTTTATATGTTATGGATATTAACCCTTTATCAAATATATTATCAGATATATGATTTGCAAATATTTTCTCCTGTTCCATGCATGGTTGTCATTTTACCTTGTTGGATAAGTGTTCTTTGATACACAAGTGTTTTTAATTTTTAAAAATATATATACTTTTAAAATAGTTTTTTTTTTAAATTTCAGAGAGGCAGGGAGAGGAAGAGATAGGAACATCCGCGTTGAGAAAGTATTATTGATCAGCTGCCTCCCCCAGGCTTCCTATTGGGGATGTGCCCTTGACTGGAATGACACTCGGGACCCTTCAGTCCCAGGCCCTTCAGTTCCCAGGCCAAAGCTATCCACTGAGTCAAACCAGCTAGGGCTAAACATATATTTCTATTGATTTCAGAAAGGAAGGGAGAGATGGAAACATCAGTGATGAGAGAGAATCACTGATCTGCTGCCTCCTGCAGGCCTTCTGCTGGGGATCCAGGCCGCAACCCAGTCATAGGCCCTGACTGAAACAGAACCTGGACCCCCTGGTTCACAGGTTGAAACTCAATCACTGAGCAACACTGGCTGGGCCCACATTACCTTCTTAAATAGCCCTCTCTCACATTATTATTATTATTGTATCATCCTCCTCTTTTCAAAAAGATCGTCATGTTTCCAAGTGGCAAGTTTGATTCCTGCTTTACTTCTCCCCCTTCCCCCAAGTTAAGCTCCAGTGGGCCAGGGACCTAGTCTTCGGTTCATCACTGTATCCCCATTCCTTACAGCGTGCCCGGAAGATACTAGGAACCCAGGAAATATTTGTTCCCTGATTGGATGTCAGGATAGGCAGATTTCTTCTAAACAGAATGCGCCGCCTAAGCTAGATCGCCTAGCCTAGGGGACCTCGGAAGCCACGCCCCTCCCCTGTCCCTGGAAGGAGTGAGGGAAGCCCCGCCCTGGCCCCGCCCCCGCCGTGACGCTAGGTCACGTGACTGCGCGCCCGCGCGCCCCGTTCCCGGAAGTCGCCGCTGCGGTCTCTGTAGCTGGTGCCTCAGCCGCTGCCGCTGCTGCCGCTGCGGAACTCGAGGAGTAGAACGGCCGCGGCGGCCCGGCGGGCCCGGCTTCCGGCCACCCTACAGAATGGAGATAATCAGGAGCAGTGCGTGTTGTCCGTGCACCTCCCCGCGTCCCCACGGCCCCTTTCACTCGGCCTTCTAGGCCCCCGGATCACGGCCCGCCAATCTGCTTGGTGGGGCCGGAGGCGGAGGCAGCCTCTCACGAGTGTGCTCCCCTTTTTCCCCCAAGCCTGTATTCCTTTTGGGGCGCTTGTGCCTCTCTGTCCCGTGCCCCCTCAGGGCCTTGCTCCTCCCTGGTCCGTACACCCTCAGTCCTTGTCCCTTTCCGGCCCCTGCACCCCTTTAGGGCCTGGACCCTCGGTTCCTTGCATCCCCGCAGTACCCAGGCCTTAGGAGCTCCGTGGCCCTCCTCCCCTAGACCTTTAGGCGACTGTGGGCAGAAGGCCAAACCACCGGTTCTGAGCTTCTCGGTTTTTCCGCAGATTTTAAGAGTAATCTTCACAAAGTGTACCAGGCCATAGAGGAGGCGGACTTCTTTGCCATCGATGGGGAGTTTTCAGGTATCCCTCCCTCCTTGCAAGCTCTCGGCCGGCACCTCGCAGTGCGTGGCCCGGCTCCTCCTGACACCCTCCCTGCCCCTGACTTCTGCTTGCTGGCCCCCTTTCCCTGTGTATGGCCTTGGAAAAGTTACGTGAGTCAACATTTCCTCTTCAGGGTGTCAAAAGCAGGGAAGTGGGCTTTTTGATGGTTTGGGCTCTGAGGGTTTCGGATAGAATATGGCTTTGGTGCTGCTTAAAGCAATTTGACAGAGAGCTTCAGGGTTAGTTAGGGTCAGGCTTTTTGTGTGTGTGTGTGTGTGTGTGTGTGTGTTAGATAAATACACAACATAAAATTGACCATTTTAACCATTTAAAAATAGGTAATTGGCACTAAGTATTGATACATCCACATTTTGTGCAACCATCTCCACCATCCTAAACTTTTTCATCTTCCCAAACTGGAACTCTATATCCTTTGAACAACTCCCAATTCCTCCTCCCTCCCCAGCCTCTGGCAACCACTATTTCTATCTTTATGAATCTGACTACTCGAGGCACTGCCTATAAATAGAATCATACAATATTTGTCCTTTGTGACTGACTTTTGGGTTAGACTTTATGCATTTGTGGAAGTGTTCATTGCCCTCCTTGGCCTGGGTGTGTGTATGTGTATAATACTTTACCAACACATACAATTGCAAGGAGTTTTTCTTTTTGGATCAGATTCATTTTTTTTTTAGAGATTATTTTTTAAAGTGTTAAAGTTAATATGAACAGTGGACTTGCTTTGGTATAGATATCCATTTTCACTCTGATTTTACACATTTGAAAATTCTTCAGCCCCTAAAGGAATGCATGCTGAGAGTAAATACAGGGTGTTCCCCCAAAGTGTATATTAATAAAAGCTCATTTCTATTGATACTTTTAAATTTTGAAAATGAACTGTATGTTAATAAATACTGACTTTATAATCTTAAAGTGTGTATAGATTTTTGGGGGACACCCTGTCAGGCATCTTCAAACTACGGCCCGCGGGCCACATGCGGCCCGCAGAGGAGTCTGATCCGGCCCGCCAGGTTTTTTGGGTAGTGAGCGCAGCCGAGGTGTGGGTAGTTCATATAGTCCGGCCCTCCAGCTCTCTGAGGGACCGTGATCTGGCCCCCACTTTAAAAAGTTTGAGGACGCCTGCGTAAATCCTCAGCTTTAACTATACATACATGCCTTTTCTAGTTGGATTCAGTTCTCTGGGAAGCTAAGAGTTTTCACCAGAAATAATTTTCTCTTGACCTGGAATATACCTTTTGTTGTATAGATGTTACTTCAAACTGTTGGCCAGGGCTGGGACTCTAACAATAATAAACATCAGAATTTGTTGATATCAGATTATGCATTAAACTTTTGAAAGCAGTAAAAACTTAATCATAGATAATATTTTCTTAAACAATTCTTGTGTTTTGAAACCTATTTTAGACACTGGAACTGCCAATTCTGAAATAGAAACATTCGCATTCCTAAATTTGTTGTTATAGAGTTTAGCTTGGTCACCAGTGAAATGAATGCTGATTTTGAAAAAGTGAAATAAGGAGCACTTTGCAATACATGAGAATATAAAATTACAGAGCCACTGCATAGGCGACTGACATTTTTTACATTAGTATTTACTAACAAGTTAAAAC